CCCTTCTACTGTTTCAAACACCATTGTGTTGCATACGCGTCACTTCCACGAGGTGTTGGTGTCACAGGAGGAAGGGACCATAGCGGAGGATAGAAACTTTGCGCAGGAAAGGAAGGTCCCGGCGGTTGACGGAGGACTAATCTGGTAGGAACTAAATCCATACGTATGGCAGGATATATGTTTCTAGTGAAGTAATCGCGTCAGAAATATTTTTGAGTTCACTCTTGCAAAAACAGCGAAAACTTGCCTTTTCTTTGCCATCACACGTATCTTGATCAAATTTTTTTCAACTGTACCTTCAGATAGGTTTGGCATATCAAAAATCATTGAAAGTATTACGTCACAATCACGTTTTGCATCATTAAAGTTCAAAAATGAAGGATTGGATGTGAGGTGGAGGCGCCTGCGAAATCGCTCTGATCCCACGCGGCGCAAAAACCCAAAACGCGCGTTGTCGTCAACGTGTTAACCACTCGGCTCCTGCTCGTGTTCGTCATACGCATTCTGTTGGAGATCGCTTAACTGGAACAGTTGCTACCAAATCGCATCAAGTGTTCGGAATTCCTAATCTTTGATGTGAGTAACGCGATTACTGATTTTCGTCGACAATGTAAAACAATATCCTCTCCTCTTTGGCTTACCTAGCTTACCTAATTCTTTCCATCCACGAGTTCTCCAATGAGAGGCGATATGTTGCCGGTAATACATACAATGCATATATGTGTCAAACTTTAATGTATATACTATGTGTCAACTAGTGCGAGCGAAGTTATGAATTTCCGGTAGGCCGACAAACAACTCGCTTAGTGTACTATGCACGGTAGCCACATTACGGTAACAAGAACGTACCGCATCTGATTCAAAATTAAATACATGTAGTTCTGAACGTAGCACTTGCGCACTTATTTCTGTTTATTACGACGTTTACTCTTTGATTTTGCCACTCACAATTTGTTTAGACAATTCAAGCCTTTAGCTTTCCGTGAAGTAATGACTTGCAAGCGAATCGAAATCTTCAGGAAGCCTGTACCAATGATCATTGCGAAGACAAGTCTACAAGGTACTAGGAACGATTGGATCAAACGTGAAGAGGAGCTTCTGTTGTTACCACGAACAACATTGGGAAAGTACGCGCGAAGAGTAACTCCTCGCCAGGAAGTGGGTTAAGGGTGGCGGCCCGGGAAGACGGCCCTTCTATACAGCAGTGGGGGCTCTCCACCTGGTTAGGCCAGGCGATGGGCAGTCTCTGGCCACCAGAACATTGTGAAAGACCCTGAAAATAATGTACCCTCAGCCCTGTGCAGCGGACCCCGTGCACAGAGGACAGGAAGGTACAGAGGATGAGGCAGAGGGGAGAGATCTCGCAATCAACAATTATCTGTGCGCCTATTTTGGTGCCATCAATGTTCGAGCTTCAACATCAGATGCCAAGATAAACCATCTCGTTGGCTAGCTCAATGTAGCATCGACAAATGTTGTTCGAAACAGAATGAAAGGCGCGTATCCGGCTCGTGGATGTGGGGGTGGACACGAGGTGCATCTCGGTGCTGGAGCAAATAATGGAAGTGGCGGAGTGGGCTTTGTCACCAGATTCTGCATGGCGCCCAGAGTGGTATCGTGCGAATAAGATCTGGGAGAGTGGCACTTTTCCACGTGCGGGTCGATGTTCAAATACTACTGACCCTCGTTGT